AATAAATATTGGGTATTCCTAAGATTGGATAAATAACTAATTTTCTGATAAACAAAGAATCTTTACACTTTTATCGTTAACCTTTTCATTGTTTCAAATATAGATTTTTTAATATTGTAATTAATTTTTTATTTAATGTATATTCCCTGTTCTCCTCTTTATTTAAATTTCTTTGAATACTTTTTCCATATAAAGTAAATACTATTGTATTACCATTCATTCAATTATAATAAACTGTGACATCGCTTCTATAAAAGTGTGCGCTTTCCTCGGAATTTTATTTTACATTGGTAGATAATATTACAAATTGATATGGTTCTTTGTAGTATGAATTGTATGAGTGAAATGCAAATGAAAGTGTAACAATTATTTATATATTTAATAATTTTCTACACAATTCTCAGTTTACTTTAAAATCATTATTGTTAAGCAGCATAAGCTATCAAATGTAATTCTATTTTATATAATAAAGAATAGTTTAATCTTTAAGGTATCAATATCCCAGTTTATTTTCATAGATTACCCTTTGTCTAACTGCCAACCGATATATGCCTGCATTTCTAAAAGAGAATATACAGATGTCAATTGATTTAAATGAGTTTCTTTATATTTCTTAATAAGTATTATTTGTATAAATTAAATTACAATGATATAATATGTTCTTACTTTTATATTTTCGACTAGTTATATATCAATTACTTTATATATTTAAAATATCTAAAAAATATTAACAATTTCCAATTACTATATGAACAAATTATAATATAATTGAATATTGGCAAATTAAAAATCAATTCCTAAACCAGTAAGTGCATAAAATGTAATAATTTAGACCTATGTTTAAGTCATAGAAAATTAAGAATTATATATCAAAGAATTATTTGTAGAATTGAAATTTATTATTATTTTAAAAAATTGAAATAAAAAGAAATACTAGATAAGAAAATAAGTTATTTTTAAGACATAAATACAAACCATATCATAAATTACTTTTAATTAAAAAAAATTATATCAGATTTTACAATAACTATTTTTAAATGTCATACTTGGGAATTATTGGTGCAAATTGTAGGGTTATATTTTTAATGTATATATATCTATTATATATGTATCTTTTATATTTTATATACCTTATATATATATATATATATATATATATATCTTTTGATTAGACATAACTTGTTTTAATTATTAAAAAGTTTCTATAAAAATATAATCAAGTTGTTGTCAAGTATTAATATAAAGAAATACTGTAATATAATAATCTGTTTAAATTATCGAAAGTTTTGTTTTTTAACCTTAACTTCAATATAAGGATAAAAACTTTATAAATTTTGGAAACTTTAATTTTTATTAAATTTGGAAACTGCTATGATTATTACATTTGAAGAATAAATGAAGTACGATTAATTAATGCTTGATTAACAGTGAATTATTTGAATTAATTGTACTATGTAGTTTTACTTATGTTAATTCAGAATTCGTTACAATAAATCAATTTGGATACTATATTTGTGGAATTAGACCATTCAAATCGTCTAAGTCGTATTTATTATTATTATATAAATGCAATATTTGGGTATTTTTGTTTTAAAGAATGATCGATGAAAAGGGTGGTTGTTTTTTAATACTGATTAATGTTTTGTTTCTTAATACTGGTTGATTGTGCTACAATATAACGATGATCAGGAGTTAGGGATTCGATTAAAGTGATGTAAAAAGGGAGAGTTAATACAGATCGTGATAAGTTGAATACTACCACGGTGATCAAAGTTCCAGTATGTCACCTATTCTCACTATTTTATTAGAGTACAATAATGATGAGGGAACGTTAACTGCAAAGAAGCGAGGAGATTAGGATATATCAGAATTCACCCATGCTTGTAATTAATCGAATAAAAAGATTGTAATAAATTCTTCATACATATTGTAATACTTTCTTTTCATTTTATCGAGTAATTGAGAAAATCAGCAAGTTAGCAGGGCTGAGCAAAAATTAAATTATTAAAAATGTAGAAATACAAACAATTTGATCAGTAAAAAGTATGGGAGCCTAAAAAATGTAACAAAATAGGTAATGATGTAGTATTCCAAACGCACCATATAAATAACATGTCAACGGATATTAAAGGAAGAATCAAATATTTTTGTAAAATTACCGAATAATTTAAATCGAGCCGAACAATTGATTAAATTTTTTAAATTTCATATATTCTCAAAGTTCTATTTTTTATTAGGAAATTTCAAAATATCGAGTACATTTGCACGAAAAAAAAAGTTTCATAGGTTTTGATTTAACAATAAAAATATTAATAAATACAACAGAAGGAAGTCAAATGAGTAAAGTATAAGGAGTAGGTTAAAATTTAATTAATCAAAATGAATGATACATTCCGTGTATCGTCTTTATTTAATTATATTATCGTTACAAACAGATTCTCTATAAGATTTAGTCAAAACATTTTATTCTTTTTTAATGCACTATATTGCTTAGCATATGACTTTTTAAAGCGAAAACTAGTAATTAATTAATAAAATAAAATATAACACATGGTTATGAAATAAAATAGTTTTTTTAATTAAATATTAATTTATTCGTTCAAACAGTTAGTGGATTTAATATTTACCCATAATTTGAAAAGAAATCTACTGATCAACAATTTTTTCTCGGTTCATTCTATTGAAGTCGGATATTCAAATTGAATAATTTCCAGAAATTTAATCTTGAACGCATTACAGTTTTGCAATACAGTTCCATATTTATTTTCTAGTCTAGATTTTAGATACAATGCTTTTGTATTTTAGATCCATTTAACTTAAATATAAAAATTGTCCAATAATTCTTAAATTATTCAATAAATTACAAATAGTAAAAACTAAAAATTTAATTTATCCTTTAGTGACATCTTACATATAAAAAAATTATGGAGTTCATGTAAATTTTAAATGATTATCATTTTTGTTTCTGATTTTGGAAGATCATTATTTTAATATTGTGTATAAAAGATTGGGTAATTAAATGAAATTGCTCAAATATGCATGTCTATTGTAGAAATTTAATAAACGAAGATTTTTACTGCTATAATATAAAGTCTTTAAACAGTTGTAGCTACTGTATTTTTATTATATACAGTTAATTTAAAATTCATTGAAAATTTAATTTTATGTATTATATTTATGTATACAAAAAGCACACATTTATGAATGCATTTTATGTACTTAGATTTCTCATATCTTTGGTAATTGTTGAATATTTAAATAAAGTGAAACGTAAAAATTTCCAATTTCAATAATAAAATTGAAAGAATGGGACGAAGTCATTCAATCTCAAAAAATGTCAAGAGTCCGGCAAATTAGCATGTCAGGAAGTAACAGTGGTAACAGTATCAGCACTAGTAGCAATAGAAAAAATCTCTGTGAATGCGAGAGCTGGCGTTCCCTGATCCCTCTTCCCGACTCTTTATAGTAGCGCAGAGCCGAACACTGACGGAAATGACCGAGGAGAGGTGCGAACCCCTCAACCGTTCTTACAAACGGGATCGCGCCCCACTACATCCAGTCGTGCTACGAGTGCCGTACTGAAAGTGTCGAATGTATGGTTTGAGTGTCCTTTTTTCTATTTAACGCGTGGAATAAACACAAAGCATGTGATAATTCATTCAACGCCTTTTTAATATGAATTCTTAATTGTTGATTTTATCGAGCATTTATCATATTGCCAATTTAATTACTGAACCATCGATTTTGGTGATCGATAGAAAAATCCTTTATCGAGATGAAAAGGAGACGTGAAGAGTCATGAAATCGAATTGGGTTCGATATACGACTACAGAACGTCGTGCTATTTAAGAAAAAACGTCAATAAGACTTTCTAAATTTGAAAGAAGTGTGTAAAATAAATTTTAAGAAATCTAAGTTATCTCTTGGCCATAGATCCAGTAGCGTTTAAAATATGCATCCTATAAACAACAAGAATACGACAGTTTAAATTAAACAAAACAGTGTTAATTATAAATAAATTCGATAGTTAAATACATCGCGCACGTGTTAGTGGTCTGGTACGTTTCGATGTGACGTACCGGGCAATTTAAAATTGATTCATTCAATCTATTGTAAAAAGGAAAAGTTATTAGTTAAGAAAAGAAGTAGCTCCAGTGTTGAGTTTATTAAGAGAAGTGTAAAGAATTTTTACCAGATTTTTTAGAAAGATTATCGCACTAATTAATGATCTCATATTCATATAATTACTCAATTATCAATTTGATAATTTTGATTAATGCTATAACATTTTTAAAAATTGAAATTTAATGTAAATGATAATCTCAAATAGTTACTTGGATTATATAAATAATATTTTTAATTTATATTAAATTTAAGTATTAGAAAGGTGAATAAATATTATTGATTGTTTAGTTTTTATAAATTGATGTTAGAGTATAAATATTAAAATCTCTTATTATTAATTTAACCAATTTGTATTATTAGAAAATTATATTGTTTGTAATCAGTGCTGCTTATAGAACTTAAAAGAATGAATTTTTTTTTAATTATTTACAATGTTTAATATATCATAAAAATTGAAATAACGCATATTATTAAAAAGAAAAGATATAGTAAGTGATTTAAAATACTATTTAAATTATTCGTTTGATTTAGATATTTTTAATTTTTATAGTATTTTTTAAACTTCAAAAAAGGCTAAATGATTTAGATAATATGTAAACGACAGAAAGAATTACACGAAAGACAATAAGTGAAAATAAAATTTATTTAAAATGTTAACAGTTGAATATCGGTATATTATGATTTTATTATGCCTATAATGTCAACGTGGTATTTTATTTTTAGAAGTAATATTAACAAAAAATATTATTTTATTTTATTAAATAATTAAAAATTATTTCATTCATTTTTTAATCGACATTTTATTATTGTATTGTCTGAATTGAGTATTATAATTTTTTTTTATTAAATTCGTAATTTGTATTGTAAGTATTATAAATAAGAGTTTAAAGTTAAATAAAGATTCGATAAGTATTCAGTTATTGAAATAATCGTTGAAAGCCTCAAAATCTGCATAACCTTCCTCGCACAAATAAAAAACGCGTCATCTCTCAGTGTTGCACGTCAGAGGTTATAAGCAACTTCATAAAACAGCAGCAATAACAATGGGAAGTAGTGAGGGTAGTAGGTCCTTGGAGTCCTCAGTACCCAAATTTCGATACAAGGACAATCAGGTACGTTACTATGGTGGTCTGATCAATTGGGCAATGTGTGTTCTGTGTGTGGCCAGCCTGTCTATTTCGGGCTTACTAGCTTATAGAGAGCTGTGTCTCGAACAGCGGATCATTTATCTAGAGAATTTATGCCAAGCAAATCAACAGCAACAATTATATCAACAAAAATTAGAGAAGCCATCTAAGATACTTGTCGAAGCTCTTAAACGTGAAGTGCAATTGCAGATAAAGGACTCACAGAAGCAGCTTTTCGAATCCGACGGCTCGTCTGATATATTTAGGCTCAAAAGGGACTTACCCGAATGCAACTGCCCACCAGGTAAAATTACTTAAAAATTTTCTTTTTATTCAATGTAATTGATTGAACATGAAAATCATAAAATTTTATACCAATTTAATTTATTATACTTTTATTTGGCTATTTATGTTATAATTAAATAAGTCGAATTCAATTTTTCAATAAAAATATTTTTATATTATAAATAAAAAATCAATAAGCAATGAAAACAGTAATTTCTACAATTACAATATATGATAATTAAATAGGAAAAAAACTAAATTGTTATATACCATAATATCTTAAAAATATTTGTTTACAAATTTTAGTAATTATAATTTCAAAATTTAGTTGTAAAAGTCAGAAGGATCATCAATTTTGAGATTATTAATTATAGGCTAAAAAATTAATTTATATTTTGTTTTGTATATTTATTATATTTATTTGTTTTATTATATTCTTTTATTTTATTAATATTAATATCGTTGAGAACATAACGTAGCTCATTTTATATACAAAATTGCAATTGTTACCTTATTAGATTTTCTCTAAAAGGTAACCTGACGAATACTTGAATTTAAACTACTATTTTAATTTATAATTTTGACACTTTTGTTATTTTATTAATTATAGATTTTGTAGTGAATATAGTTAATCGAAAATTGTAAAGTATTAACAGAACATTGCTTTAAATTGTGTAAAAGCTTTATTAATTAAAAAGCAAAATATATAATTATTTTCAACGTAATTTTAGTAAAATGTTTTTAGATTCGTATTAAAAAATTATATTAAAAATGTAGTAGTTCAATTTTGCCTAGTTATATGACAAAATAATGTTTTAATAAAATTAAAATTTTATTTATATTCTTTAATACATTTATACATTTAATTTTATGAATTTGTTATTTAATATCGGTATTGATACATTCAATAATAACATTTGAGATCTAAAATAACATTTCCATTGTATTTAACATAGTTTTCATTAAATATATATATATATATATATAATAAAACATATATTTTATAAAAAAAATGCAATTACAATTACAATAAAATTTTTATTTAAAGTATATTTATTATATACATTTATATTTTTTATTACATACTAAATATTCAAATAAAAAAAGGTTTTAATAAATGTTCTATTCGAAAATTTTAGAAATAAATATCATGGATTTCAAAAAATACAAACAGTAAAATTATAGAAATCATTCAGGAATAAACTAAATAAAAATTAATTAATTAAAAATTTCGTGTCTCGGACTAAGGTACTTAAATTTTCTTCAATGCTATTTGGAAGAAGATGACAAATTAGCTGATTTTCAATTTAAATCTTGTATAAATTATTGTAATTTAAAATTATATCTCTTCATCAATCTTATTATTATATATTATTATTTTTTAATGCATTGGTAATGAATATATTTTAATAAATACAATACATTAATTTTTTAATATTTTTGTAGATTGAGTTCATATTTGTTATGTTATGAATTGCTTTTGTTATGAATCGCTATAGCAAGTTTAAAATTAAAATTATAAATAATTAACTATCTAATACATGTAATAACAAAATTAGAAAATATTTAATAGAATTTCAATAGTTTCTTATAGTAATTAATTAGTAGCATTTAATCATGTTAGTACTATAGTATTTAATTACTATTTGAATTAATCTAACATTTTTCAATTATTAAAATTCAAAAAACATATCCTTCTTAAATTTTTTTCAATTTTATTAATTATTTTAAAATTACAATTCTATAAATAATAAAAGGTATAATTATATAATTAATAGATATAAAAATAATATATGCCTGTTTTAAGTGAAATTACTGAAAATATTTAAGCAATAGAAAATTTTCTATACCAAACATATAAAATATAACTTTATTCATTTATAGGTCATTTAAGAAAGCAATAAACTATAAGGTATTAAGATATCGATCATATTCCATTTCATATGAATAATTTTTACATAATATATTTATTACTAAAATATTGGTTTATATTCTTAGCTATAATTTCTTTCATTTATGCATGCTTAAAACTTTGTTCAAAATATGATTTATAATTTTTATTTTTTTAATTATGCTTTCAATTATGCCTAAGAAAAATAGAAGTATATGTTATTTGTTATTACTAATACTACTTTTATGTTTATTATGCTATTTCATAAACTATTAATATTTCTTATAAACCTGTTTACATTAAATTTTTATTTATTATAATTTTTTTGTAAAGAAAAAGATCAAATTCCATTTGATAAATTAAGATTAGCACCAAACATAACATTTTAAATTTAAATGAAATTTTTATGAATATTTTTAAAAAGTATTTGTAATTAATAAATTTATATAAATTTTTTTCAAAATTGAACTTTTAAATATTCAACAAAAGTTGGTTAAAATAATATCATGTTAATATAAATAAAAAAATATAAAAAATGTATAATATACAATATGGGAAATATATACTGTGCAATATAAAACATTATTTATATTAGCTTTTGTATATGCATTGATTTGTACTATGCATATCTGATGTATTGTTCTATATATGTACGACAGTATAATTATAAAATTTCTTAATTATATGTAATAGGATTATCCAGTTAATTTATAATTTAATAGAATTTTGATATTAATTATTCATGTAAATGCACATACTTAAATTACACACAGAGAGAGAGAGAGAGAGAGAGAGAGAGAGAGAGAGAGAGAGAGGCAGACAGAGAGAGAGAGAGAGAGAGAAATATGATTTTTTTTTTAAATATTCAAAGTATAATGTATATAATGTATATAAATAATTATATTATGAATGGAAATTTGTAGGTTCTGAAATCTTACTTCTATAATAGAAATAAAATAAAATTTTAAATTATTTATGAAAAATAATTACGTTGGTGATTAAAATTACTTTATTAAAATAAAAATTAAAATATATAAGACCATTTGTCATCATAAATTTAGAATTGTAAACTACAGTATTTTTGAAACCTGGAATAATTTAAATTCTATTTTATTGTGTGGTTATTTGAATTGTTGTTTTCATTTTAAAATGAAATTGCAATATTGTTTAAAATTGGTTTCTTCGTTTTTTCTTTTTTCTATTTAATTTGTTTTTTATTTATATAATATTTAAAATAGAAATCTATAACTTATTGAAAGACTGACTATTGAATTGACTACTAAACTTCATTTTGATAAATATCCCAGAATAGGCAACAAAAGAAATATATGTTAATAGCATTACATATTAATGTTTATATTGCCTTTATTTAATAAGTTATACAATATACTTCATCTTTTCATTCTTTTTTTCTTTTGTATATTTTTCTATACAAATAATATATACTTTGTTAAAAACACTGAAATTGTATACTCTACAGAGAATCAGAATGTGAGCAGAAAAATTATTGTTTATTTTATTCGATAGCATAATTGCATTATTTTTTAATGTAATTGAATTTTATATGTGAATTAGACAAATATTAAATTAATAAATACTTAATTAGTAAATTATACATATTTCATTTAAATAAAGTTAGATAGAGTTGCTGTGCAATTATAATTTCTGTTTAAATTTGATGTACAATATAATAAAAGAAAAAAACTAAATAATGTATTAGTTATTTATAATTGTGCGAACAAAAGTTTATTAGTCAGAAAATAAGAAATTGTATAAAGTAAAGAATAGTATGTTTTGTTGTTTATTAAAATTTAAATACATTACAAATATTCAAATCTAAGCCAATAAATTTATACCAATTACAAAAATTGGCTATCTTAGATATATATTAGCCCTAATTTATTATATTAATGTCCAGAATAATGTAAAGTATCAAAACGATTTATTAATTAATACTTATAAATAGAGACATAAAAAGTTTGAAAATGTAAAGGATTTGTCAAGTATATAAGTATTATTATTTATTAATAATATAGAATGTTATTATGAAATTAAATAATACTAAATAGTAATTAAATAAATCTATTATGTGCGATAAAATATTAGTGTATTAAACGACGACATTAAAATTAAAATTATTCTTTTATGAAAAAGAATTAATTTTTTTTTTTAATTAAGTCTATAATTAACTCGTACATAATAAATAACTCAAATAAAATACTTATATTAAATTAAATTTATAATAAGGATAATACTAAATTACAAAGAAGTTGTTTAATTATATGTACAATATAAAAGCATTCGTTACGATTGAAATAAAAAAGAAGCATCTGCAAATATTTTAATATGAAATTCAAAGAATAAAAAACAATCCATTAAATTATACAGAAGTAAAAGATTCTTTTTTTAAGTTTGTCGGTCTGCTTCTAAATAAAATAGTATAAGTTTAATTTATTTTCAGATATACAAACGGCAAACCTATATCATTAGTTGTGAATAATAGAATAAACATTTTTATTTTATTAATAATTAAAATACTTTAATTACGAATTTGCTAATATATGTAAGCTCTTTTTTAAGTGTATAGAAGTTTAAATTTCTAATAAAATAATTAATATATAGGATATTTATCAAGCAGAATTTCCATATAGTATATAAATAGTGAATCTGGTTATTATATAGGAAGGAGGGGTTAGTTTGGTCCCTTCACAAATGTGAGGGGAGCACCAATAGTGTTACAAGGCACATCTGTTATGTAATTGTGTATAGTCTAAATATACATAGAATTGACTATATGAAATGATTATAGTGTATATACCTTTATATCTCATTATCTATACCCATTCTTAAGTAATTTAAACGTATTGTATATCCATTTTTAAATATTTTTAAAAATTTTTTAATTTTACAGTAAATAAAACATAACATTCTAATTTTTTAAATATTACCTATTATTATAAAATAATTTTATACAATGAGGAGGCTGTTATTGAAATATTTACTATAATTTTGTATTATACTAACGAATATATTACCATCGAAAAGTAAACTGTAATTTGAAATGAACCTTTACTAAAGTATACGTATTCTATTGTTACTTAATTCTATTTTAATAAATTGTATTAAAG